TAAGTGAGCCTTTCATGAATCTTCGGATTAAGTGCTAACTTCTTAAGTGAGCTTGGAAAATGGAAAGTAGAGGAGGAAGAGTTTGAGTCCACCATGGCCTACATGATAGAACAGAAGTCCTTGATGAGTAAAGTCAATTCTTGAAGCTCAAATGTCACATTAGAACTATATGTGCATGATGTTTGTCTTGTCACCTTGTTGATAATGCATGAGTAGTGTGGGTAATTTTTGGTCCCAACTGATGCGTGAATGGCTCACCTTTGACTCACTGAAATGACCCTTAACTCTAGGAGGTAGGAACTAATTTATTTTCTTGAGGACAAGCAAAGACTTAAGTTTGGGGGAGTTGATAAGTGGGGATTTTGACTGCTCATTAGCACTTTTTTCCTTTTATTTTAGTCCGAAAGTATTGATTTACGTTCTTGAAACTAATAAAATTGCGCAAATTGCAGGAATGTTGTAAGTTTGGTCTCCCATGACGAAATTCGACTCAAAAAGGAGTGTTCCGAAGCACAAGGCAATAAAGGGTGCAGAGGCAAAGAAATGCGGTCCGCAGAAGGATTTCTTCGGCCGCAGAAGAAATTGCGGACTATATAATTCCATCTGCAGTCGCAATTCAAGCTAAATAACCCAACATGATTTTGACAAATATGCAGACCGCACATGAATTGTGCGGCCGCAAAACAGGGTCCGCACTGACAAGTAATTCCAAGTTCAGAGAGTGTGCAGAAGACCAAGTCCTGACGCCTTGCAGAAGTGCGGACTGCATAAGAATTGTGCGGCCGCAGAAATTGCTTCTCAACCGTAATCCAGAAATGTGTGGCTGCAGAATCCACCTTCCTGCCAACTGAAGAAATTTGCGGCCGCAGAAATTGCTTCGCAGCCGTAATCTAGAAATGTGCGGCTGTAGAATCCACCTTCCTACCAACTGAAGAAATATGCCGACCGCACATGGAATTGTGCGGCCGCAGAACATCCCGAGAGGCATTTTTGTCAGCAATTTTTGTCCCACTATAAACAGTCGAGTTTCACAAATTTAAGTTAAGTTTGGAAGAAAAAGCTGCTGTAGTCCTTACCTTTTACTACTTTAGGAAGTTTGTAATCATTTTAGTGTTTTTGCATTATCTTTTAACATTTTAATGTTTTGTTATGAGTTTGATTAGCTTTTTTCTCTTTATTTTCTTCAATTCCCATTATGAGTAGCTAGATTTTTGCTAGGGTTGTGACCCAACCTTAGTGTGTAAATCTTATGGGTATATAATTTAATACTTGTTTATGATTGGGTGTTGATTATTTCGCTTAGTTCATGCTTCAATTTTAGAATTAATGGTTGCAACCACTGATTTATGCCTTTTTGACTTAGTCTCTACTTGAGAAAGAGGGACCTGGACTAGGATAACTTGGCTAACAAGGAATTGGGCTAATTGAGAGATTGATTAGCCTAATTAAAGGGTTCAAACTAGAGATAGTAAGAACCCGACTTGAGCTCATATCAACTATTTTGTTTGATACCCATTTGGGCTTGAGAAAGCCAAATTGAGCAAAATCACACTCTGACCGAGAGGTATTGGGTGGGTAATGTAGAGTTGAGAGCTATAATACACCACAATCAACAAAACAAATATTAACATCTTTATCCCATTGAGCGAACACATAGGTTATGATCACATCCCAAGGCCTTTAAACTATTTGGAAAAATACCAAAAACATTCATTGCTAGTTTATTTTTCTTAGCTTTCAATCATTAGAGTAACAATAGAAGTAGAAATCAAAACTTTATTGTGGAAGTGCTATTTTAGGTAGTCCATTCGCTTTCTTCAAATATATATTCCTAACACCCCTTATAACTCTCTGTGGATTCGACCCCGACTCGTAATAGGGTAATTTATATTGCATACGGCTTATCATATCTCTTATCAAGGTGTGTTGTAGATGTCTTTAGTAAAAGAATAAGAAATTAATCCAGGATCACATTCGGGGTTCGGAAGCCAGTCTGGATATCAAAAAGTAGAGAAAACAATTTACTGTGAGAAAACATCACAACTACGCAGCACGGGGTGCCGTGAGGCACGGCGCAGCAGTGCGAAATGGCCTGTCTGACAAAGATCTGCTCTCTGAAAATTTACACTAGCGCGACGCATCAGTGTATTTTCGCGGTCTAATTTTTTCACTTCGACTTGGAAATGATAGTTTCGTCCGGGCCCATTCCTATATGGTATAATTACACCAAAAACATAAATTTTGGAGGACTTTTGACCTTGGAAGCTTTGAGAGAGCATTGGAGACCACAAGACTCAGGATTTCATCATCTTTCCATCAACTTAATACAGGAGTTTGGATTGTAACGTTAGATTGATGCATTCTTATTCTTTAACTCTTTCCGTGATTACTTTCTCCATAGTTAAGGAGTAGTTTACCTTAAGGTTTGACATAATTAAGTGACTTGGTTATTGTTTATGGATTTGGTTACTGGTTAATTACTTGAATCTATTGGAAGAGCTTTAACTCTAGTTGTGATTTTATTCATTATCTTGTTTAAACGGAAGAGGAACATAATATTGAATATTATTCCAAAGCATGCCTTAATTTATTTTGGTACTTCTTTAAAGTAATCGAAAGAGCTTTGTGATCTACCCCTTAAATTAAGATTGAGAAATATTCGAGAGAAGTTTCTCTTAGACCATTCTTACCAATAGATTCTTGCAAGTTTCACCGCACCTCACATTAGTTTATTTGAAAGATTTAGATTTAATCGAGAGAGGAGTCTAAATCGAAAGCATAAGCTAATTACCTATTGAATTCGTGAGAATCGATAGAACCTCAAGAGTGAAATATAACAATATCATATCCAGAATAACAACCTTGCACCTATCATGTCAAAATCCTTATTCCTCGCATTGATAAGAAACTAACTCTGCTAATCTCTAGTTTTTTGCAGTCAATTGTCAATTGCTTTATTTTAGTAGTTAAACATAGTTCAAATCATTTAACCCAAGTGTTGATCCTCCTGAATAGAAATTAAATCATAAATTACTCGAACATTATTTAAATCCAATCCCCGTGGAGACAATATTTTACTATACTATCTTTGACTAACGAACAATAATTTTGTGTTGTATTTTGCGCTTGTCGTAACTTAAATTACATCAATGAACCAATAAATTCTTTTTGCTTCTGGCATAATCTCTTACTAGTTGAAAAAAACAAAATCATTTTTGAAATTACAGCTGCAGTTAATCTTGGTATATCAACCCTTACTACTTCAGAGAAAACCTTTCTTTCATAAAAGACAACTCCCTTGTTTTGTATACTTCTTTATTTATTTTTATTTGTTTGCATATATGCATGGAAGTTAATTCACAAAAACTTTAATTTATTTGCCTCTGTTTTACAAAGTTGTTAATATGTGGCCTATGTGACTGACCTGATCATAAACTTGGTGTCATTTGTCAATTATCCATTCACGGCAAGCTTTCCAGGTTTTCATAAACTAGGTGAGACTTTTCCTTGTTTACTACGTATTATTCTTTTGACATCCAAAATTTATTCTTTCTGTTATTAATTTTCATTATCCCTCATAAACAGCGAATTGAGCTCCGAAGTAGATTTAATCAGTACTAATTTCGCATGTATACTTGAGCTAGTTTTACTATGATGTGATCTTTGTGGTCCGATTTCTGTGCATAGCCCCAGCTTAGTGCACCGGGCTGCCTTTACTATGATGTGATCAAATGCATGTTAATTGTGTCGATGTCACCTAGCAGTTAAAGTGACAATTTCAAACCATATTTGTAATAGCATTAATTCCGTCTATGACTTATTTTGTCTTGATAAATCCCCCTAGCTACTTTTTCTTATCTCTTTTTTTTCCCTCCCTTTTTTGGTTACCTGAGTTTTGGAGTCTTAAATCCAATTCTCAGAGATAAAGAAGAAATTCATACTGAGTCGGCAATTCTTAGAGAAGTTTTAAATGTGAACGGAGAAATTCAAAGAAAGATCAATTTATTACGCATATAATATTCCTAAATGGGAGATAAGAAAAGTTTAAATTTACTTGGAGAAAATTTACATCAGTCACACTCGCATATTCGCATTTATGGATTTTTCGTCATTCCTACTTAAGGAATTTTAGTGCCTCTACATGACTTGTTATTTTCCTTAAGCACCACAATTTGGTTCCCAAAAATCTTTTTAAATCATGTAGTCACAATCCCATAATTTTATCAAGAGTTATTATGTGCTGATCCAATGATTATCTTTTGAGGTATCTATATCCTAGCTAATAATTTGTGGCTGAACACAATTTAACAATAAAATAAAATTTGAACCCACTCGTTATTTATTATAAAATGAAGGTAACAAACAGAGCACAATTATCGAATAGAATTGGCATTCAAGCTAGTCCAATCCAGGAGAAAACAAAAAGAAAAAAAGTAACTAAAAAATTACATATAATGTATCAATCAATTAAAAAACTATCTAAAATGAAGAGGGTTAAAACTTTACACATATTATGTTTTCTAGGTTATAAAACTAGGGTTACTAGCTATAGACAGTTATATAATTTGCTTTTCACTTATCATTTAACTTGATTGCGCGAAAAAAAAAATTACAAACTATGAGTTAGTTATTATCCATTCTACGAAATGTAACGAGGTTCGTTCTATTATTGGCCTACTTTTGGAAACAGTTTGAAGCATTAATTCTTAATTGGAAAGCCACTCTCCAAAGGATTTATTTCTAGCGTATGGTTAACGGTATTCCTTATTTGAAACAGCGAGTTATTGCGTAGAGCAATGACTTAAACTTTTCACAGTCACATATCCATTTACGTTAAAAGTATTAACATTTTGTTGCTACTAATTTTACTACGTAGCTTCAATCTTTTAATTTGGCTACTCTAAAAAGTCTTAAGGCTTCACTATATATTTTTCCATTATAAATACAACAAGGTAAAGAAAACTGGAAGAGAGAAAAGGAGAAAACTTGTCTAAAAACTTATGGCTGGAAAATTAGTTATGAAAAAATCTACTTTGTCATTCATACTTCTTGCCACTTTCTTCCTTTCTGTTGCTTATGGTCGCCATTATCGTTTCATTGTGAGTTTAACTTTTAATGTTTTTCGGTTAAAGTCATCAGTGTAATCTGCATTAGTTCTTTTCATCATCTGAATATCTGATCATAGATTTGGCTAAATAACGTTGCATGCATGGCCACAGGTTAGAGAAGTTTCTATTAATAGGCTCTGTGAATCAAAGAAAATTCTTACTGTCAACGGACAATTTCCGGGGCCAACTATCTATGCTCACAAAGGAGAAACTATTATAGTTGATGTTTACAACAAAGGAAAATACAACGTCACTATTCACTGGTATTAGTGTTAATTATCTCTTTTTCCCCCTTATAATTAAGCTTCGCTCGTTACTATAGTGGTATTAGTGACTCGACCCGTACTATATTTTACATGGAATATATTGCCAACGATGATCAATAGAAGTTTGCCACATAACTTATTTCCATTGGTTTTAACTTCTATATACTGACAACCTATAAAAAATTATAGGCATGGTGTCAAGCAACCACGATATCCATGGTCAGATGGTCCTGAATATATCACCCAATGTCCAATTAAACCAGGTGATAAATTCAAGCAAAAAATCATATTATCTGATGAGGAAGGGACACTATGGTGGCATGCACACAGTGGATGGCAACGTGCAACAGTTCATGGTGCACTTATTGTTTATCCCAAACAAGGGACTCCTTATCCTTTCCCGAAGCCTCATCGCGAAATACCCATCATTATAGGTACTAGCATTCCTAGCATATAACAACCATTCATTACAAAAACCAAATTTTTCTCGGTATTAATTTTTATATTGTGTTATAATATATCTTCTATAACAACACTTCACTATAACAGTCAAAAAATGTGAAAACAAACGAGGCTGTTATAGACAGTGTTTGTATGGAAAGGCAAAACTAAAGCGAGTTTTGTTCATTCATTGCTTTAGGCTTGAAATATAAGTAGCATACATTTTAAGTTTTACCTTCATTCTGAACTTACTAACTCTAGATTATTGATTCATCTCTGGGTACAATTTTTAGACTAATAATTACTCATTATCTTCAAATTTTGTATGCATGTGGATTTTATTTAGATTTATCACCAACTCTAACTTACTACTTATTCCATTTTTGTTTGGATTAAAGGTGAGTGGTGGAAGGAAGATATTAAGAAACTCGTGGATGAATTTGTAGCATCAGGAGGTCAGCCTAGAAATTCTGATGCTTTCACTATCAATGGTCAGCCAGGTGACCTTTATCCTTGCTCAAAGAATGGTAAGCAAATCCTTGGCTATATATCAGCAGAGTAAATGACATTGACTTATATTCTCAATCATCTTGCATCATACTCATTAGTTACCAGCAAAAATTATATGACAAAATTGGCAATAGAAATCTTGCATTAAACTCAAACTTTTCCATTCTATTAGGTAATTGGAACTTGAAAGTAACTTTTAAGATATGATCCTTCACTATATATCAACTAGAGTTCTATCCATTAATAGTAAAAACATAACTTTAAACTATCATGTTAAGTTAAATACAATGATAATATGTAAATATCATATCAAGCCTAATATGATGATAACATGAAAAATGAAGTAATAATATTCTATTACCGATTTAATTAATTGCACTGTCAGTATATATAACATAAACACTATTGAGTAACAATATTATATCCGGGTAAATTTCATGAAAGGTCATTTAAGTTAAGCGTTGTAACACAAAAGTCATTTTTCTTTCTTTTGTACCACAAAAAGTATTTTTCTTTCTTTTGTACCACAAAAGTCATTTCAATATAGTTTAGTTAACAGAAATATAAAAATAATCAAAGAATGCAAATTTTGGCAGGAAAACTTATCCTAACCCTCTAATTTTTAGTAGAACTTACAGAAAGTCATCTTTTACTCCTGCCTCTCTTAGAAATACCAACAACATCACGTCAGTTTTCCGGCTAAAATTTGCATTTTCCATTTTAATTCAAAGTTGTTACTCTATTTTACTAAATTAATTAGAGGATTAGGACATCCACAACAGTTTTCCGGCTAAAATTTGCAATTTTCGGTCACTTTATATTTTTGTTAACTAGGCTATATTAAAATTACTAAAAGTGACGTTTATGTTACCAGGCTTAACTTGAATGACCTTTGATGAAATTTACCCCATTATACCCCCCCTCCCAAAACCCTGACAAATATTTATTTTCTTGATTTCCTTTACTTACCCTTCTGTTTTTAATGGTTGTGTAGGAACTTTCAATCTAGAGGTGGAGTTTGGAAAGACTTATCTACTGAGGTTTATAAGTGGTGTAATGAACGAACTTATGTTCGTTAGTATTGCAAATCACAATCTAACAGTAGTTGGAATAGATGGAAGCTACACAAAACCATTGACACGAGAATATATCATGATAACCCCAGGACAATCAATCGATTGCATTTTGAAAACTAACCAAAAGGGTGATCAATATTATTATTTAGCTGCTAGAGCATATTCTAATGGTACTACTACCTTTGATAACACAACCACAACAGCAATTTTAAAGTATAAAGAGAAAGATAACAATACTTCATCATCTCCTTTATTTCCATATCTTCCTTCTTACTATGACACCCTTGCTGTTGTGAATTTCACTGCTAGCCTAAGAAGTTTAGCCTCGAAAAACCATCCGATTTTCGTCCCCCTTGAAATAAAAAACAAAATGATTTCCACTATTTCAATTAATGCATTTCCCTGTCCTGAAAATGGTACAAACTCTACATGCCAAGGACCAAACGGGACACGATTTGCAGCTAGTATGAACAACATAAGTTTTGTTAAGCCTACGTACGATATACTAGAGGCCTATTATTATCACGTTAACGGTGTTTTTGGGACAAAATTTCCTAGTTTTCCACCATATAAATTCAATTACACTGCTGATTACTTGCCTTTGGAACTTGATATACCGGATTTAGGGACAGAAGTGAAAGTATTGAAGTATAATACTACAGTTGAAATGGTTCTTCAGGACACTAATTTAGTTGGTTCCTCAGACCATCCAATGCATCTTCATGGATATAGTTACTATGTTGTTGGATGGGGATTTGGAAATTTCGACGAGAAAAAGGATCCTTTGAATTATAATCTTGTTGATCCTCCTCGAGTAAACACAATTGCTGTTCCTAAAAATGGTTGGACTGCAATTAGATTCAAAGCAGACAATCCTGGTAAGTTTTAATTTAAACATTTATTTTCATAGCTTAATTATTTAGTAGTATGTGATAAATTATCACTTCATTTTATTATAAATATAATGTTGTTTGTAATTTTTAGGAGTTTGGTTTATGCATTGCCATATTGAGCGTCATATATCATGGGGTATGAAGACTGCATTTCTAGTGGAAGATGGCAAGTACCCAGAAGAACGGATGTTGCCTCCTCCCCCAGATATGCCACCATGCTGATTTTTCCCTGGAAGTTTCTTTATATATGTATATGCTAGAGAACTTATCCGAGCTTCGCGCGGTCTAACATAAAAAAAATATAGAATTAGTTCAAACATTTACATTAAGAAGTTGTAAATCTAAAAACTTTTCCAAACACAGAGAGAATACCAACAAAAAGAAACAAACATATATACATAATATTATAAGAGAAAGATACATACACGAAAAAAAAATTCCAAATATAGAAGAGTAATGTATCTTTTTGTAATTTTTGTCAACAATACAAAAAATGATTGTAGATATATTGATGCAAGAAATTTGGAGATCGTTTGAGTTAGTTTTATTTGTGTATCAGATGTGGTTAGTTAACTAGAAATAATATGTGATTCCTGGAATTACTTCCATCATAGACTTACCAATAATTACTTGGCTGGCAAATCAAAACTATTTAAGCAACAAGTTATGTATATAATATGCAAATATTAAAGAGTGCAAAACTAAAAGTGTTAGACTGAAGTCATACTTGTTCATCAACATCTACCTTTAATTTTCCCGTCGAAGGATTCAAAACCATATTATTTCCTTCACATTTTCGACCCCTGACCTCCTCCATATATAGTTCCATAATTCTACCAACTGCAACAAAAAAAAAACATTGGCAAATTAAATTATCTATTTGAAAAATGACATATATTCTTATTCTTAGCATACAAATACCAAGAGATAGAGCGGACAAAAAATTGAGCTAACTAGAATGACGATTTGTTTTATAGTATCCACTTTTAGAATGATGATAATGTAAATGTGAATCACTTGCAACATTATAGTTTTGCCTTCTATCACAGTCTATTAGTGATTTCCCTTTGATTTTATAGAATTATAAAGAGGAAATAAATATTTAAAATACAAATTTCAGGCTCCAGTGAAGAGTTTTTGGTGTAATTTTCACTCATTCAATTCACGGTATAAATAAGTAAAAACTAAAACGGTGTATTTCTAGCATTTGGTGTATATCATTTGCAGGGTTAATTAATTTGAGTTTATTATGGCTGCTCATATAATAGAAGAGGAATAAATGAAACTTCTCTGCATATTTTTTACGACCCAAAATCCAATTAGTTGTGATGGCACATAATCCAACCCGCTAGGTAAGCCAATTAACACAATCCAATTCAAATGAGATTTACTGAGAAATAACTGATGAATTAACTAATCTTTTACACAAAAATCTCAAAGATTAGTAGTACAAATCATGAGTTTCTAAAACTTAGAGTTTACAAAGCTGGTATAAAATAAATACATCATCTGTTCGAAATGTACATAAACAGATTTATAAATCTAAAGCTACCAAGAACAAGAGGCAGCTATAACCGAAACGCAGGTACATCTCCAATGCCAGCTCCCGCCATACGGAGCAACATCAACTCCAAAATTGGCACGCAAGGTGCAGAAGTGTAGTATGAGTATAACCGACCTCATGTACTCAATAAGTAACATATCTAACTTTAGGTTGAAAGCAGTGACAAGCTCGGGAGAAGGTTACAGTCCAACACCAAAGGCAAGGACAACTCGTAACAATATAATAATAACAGTGCAAGTAATAACTCAAAGATATCATGCTCAGCTCGTTCAAAGTTACGGAAAATATGCATACTTTTCAAGTATAACAGTAAAACCCAAATCTGTCACCGAGATCACCAAAATATGAGTATATTAGAAAATTGTAATTTTCCGCAAAATCTTTCAACAACAGATAAGATATTTCATTCTCAGATAGCATGAGGAAAGTACATCTCTATGCCTACCTATCATTGTGTATGTGAAGTCATGAATGTCGCAATACCGTATAGCATGAGGAAACATATTTCTATGCCTACATGTTAAGTAATCATGTCAAATATATTGCATCACAGTGATAAACCCATGTACTCACACTCTTAGAGCACTCAACCTCACTGTCTCACACTCAATCACTCGGCACACTTAATCACTCGGCACACTCAATCACTCGGTACTCTCAATCACTCGACACCGGTACCTGCGCTCACTGTTGGTATGTCCGACTCTGGAGGGTCAGATCCTTCCCAAGCGCTAATATAAGTCAACATGGCATGTTGCGGCATGCAACCCGATCCCATAATGAGTCAAAAGCCTGCTGCAGCGTACAGCCCGATCCCATAAATGTCACTCACAAATCGGCCCTCAGATCCCAACTCAATCATCAATCTCTCCAGTCTTCCGGGCTCACAAATCTCATGCCAATCAGCCCAAACAATGATAACATGATGTAACAACAAATGATAACATAGACTGAGATATGATATGCAAATGAATGAATATGGAATTGCAATTTAAGAAAACAACTCAACAGCAGAGATGACCTCAGTAGGTCCCAACAAAATAAGCATATAGCCTAAACATGATTTCTAACATGATTCACAACTCATATAACAAAGCAAGTTGAGAGAACATGGATGTAACAAGATATACTAGCAAAACAAGTCCGATCATAGTCTAATAGTCAACTAGAATCTTGGTTTCCCCGGTGCACGCCCACACGCTCGTCACCTAGCAAGTGTGTCACCTCAATACATCTCTTATAACATAGTTTCCAGTGTTAAATACCCTCAAATCCAAGTTTAGATATGTTACTTACCTCGAACAAGCCTAATCCGATACCGAGAAAGCCAAATAATACTCTAGAAATGCCATCCCGCGTAACAACCTCCAAACGGCTCGAAACTAGCCAAAAGCAACTCAAATACATCAAATAATGCTTAAGGAAACAATCCCAAATGATAAAGGTCGAATCTTTACACATTTACTCAAAGTCAAACCCGGGCCCGTACCTCGAAATCCAACAAAACCCACAAAATCCGATAGCCCATTCAATTACGAGTCCGGCCATATTTCACTCAAATCCGACTCCGAATCGATATTCAAAACTCAAATATCCACTTTAGAAAAGTTTAGACAAAAGACCACCAATTTCTCTTTTGAAATCATCAATTAAATGCCAAAAACGAAGATAGATTCATGTAATATAATCAAAGTCGTATCGAAACACTTACCCCAATTTGTGTGGTGAAAATCGCCCAAATTCGAGCTCCCCACTCAAAGATGTAATAAAATGTTCGAAACCTTCGAAATAGAGTACTTATAAGCACTGCCCAGGCGAACCTTTCGTGAACGCGAAAAATCCATCGCGTTTGCGATGAACAAAACGAACTGCCAACAAAAAATGCCTTACGTGTTCGCGATGCTTCCCACGCGAACGCGATGCCTAAAGATGCCACACAACTCGAATGCGGCCCACATCTCGCGGACGCGAAGAAGAGTGCTCCAGCTCCCAGCTCACCATCGCGAACGCGACTACCCAAAAGCGAACGAGAAGCTCGAGTCCCACATACACACGAACGCGACTCAACACTTGCGAACGCCGAAGAGATAAAACAGCCCAATCCAAATCCTTATTCGCGCTCGCGATGACTCCCAACCGAACGCGATTCACTCCACATTAGTAAAAACCAACAATTTAAAATGAGAGGAAATAGTCCGAAAGCGATCTAAACTCACCTGAGCCTATCGGGACCTCGTCTGAACATACCAACAAATCCCATAACATAACACAGACTTACTCGAGGCCACAAATCACGCATTACAACATCAAAACCACGAATCGCACCTCAAATCGAACTTAATGAACTTTTGAACTTTCAACTTCCAAAACTCGCGCTGAACCATATCATACCAACCCGGAATAATCTCAAATTTTGCACACAAGTCCCATATGACATAACGAAGCTATTCCAATTCCCTGAACCATAATCCGAACTCGGTATCATCAAAGTCAACTTTCGGCAAACTTATGAACATTCTAAATGTTCAAATTGGCTACTTTAGCCAAATAACGTTGAAAACTTCTAGAAACATCCAAATGCAAATTCGGGCATACGCCCAAGTCTAGAATCACCATCCAGACTTAGCGGAACCATCAAAACTCCGATCCGGGGTCAAATACACAAAAGCCAAACTTGGTCAATTTTTCCAACTTAAAGCTTTCTAGTTAAGAATCATTCTCCAAAATCAATCCCGAAACACCTGAAAACTAAAATCGACGATTCATACAAGTCATAATACATCATATGAAGCTACTCAAGACTTCAAACAGCTGAACGGAATGCAAATGCTCAAAACGACCAATTGGGTCGTTACAATATTACTCCGGAAAAGAGAAGAACTTTCTGGCTACGCATAGAAGTATAGTGTGCTTCATTGAACAACGGAAGCACCAAAATTTCTCCAACGGCTTCCATGTACGGTTTAAATTACAGTTGTTCGATTTATTCCATTTATATTTACAGACATGAAATTTTTACATGTGAAATGCGATAATCTCGAATGTGCAATTAAAAAGGAATTTTTATGGTCTAACCTTTAATTAGTAAGAGTTGTCATGAAATTATCTATCCTGCAACAAATCTGGAAGTCAAGCCAGATCAATTCGAAATCAGATATATAAATAAATCTAAATCCATTATTCGATTTCTCCACCAACAAATATTAAAGATAATTAATTCATGATTAGGATACCTAGCCATCTTTATCGAGGGAGCAAGGAAAAACAGATTAAAAGTAACTTTAAATAAGAATTAGAAGGCTCAGATAGCAACGTTTCTTAGCACCCATTATTTTGCAGTATTGTTGATAACGTCTCATTTGCAATGTTTCAGGTTAAGTAATAAATGCTAATGATGAGGAATAACATAATAGAATATTTTTAGTTTCTTACAATATTTTAGACATCAAATAAGGAAAAATTTGAGAACACAAATAAATATAGTTCCTTGAGAGGTGCCACATCAGCCTTTTTCACTCCTTACTTTATTCTAGTTATGTCACGCATAATCATATTTCGATGAGCATACACTATAACTAGTACAAAATAGAATCTCCTCTTACATGGTTGGCAAACAAAATAGGAGATGTTTTATTTTGTGTCTCACACAACTTACATT